AATTATGCTCCTACATGATCCATTGTTAATTTTATATCTTTTAGGCTTTGCTTGCAGGGAAGAAATGCCAAAGTCTCCAAAGTCCTCAGACTAAATTAGTGTCTCTTGGTTTTATTTGATTCACTGCAAACAGTAAATAGATTGGACAACTGTATTATTTATCTGTCTTATGTACCTGTATCAAGGTGCACATTCCCAAATAAATGTGTGCTTAACTGAACAAACACAAACCAAGAGAGGCCACTAGAGGCTCACAGCCCCCTAGTGGTTAAATCCAACCATGACTGCATGGACAATTTATGTGCCAACTCGAAACCAATATTGGCAGTTACTGCATGATCAAATCCAGCTAGATGTATGCATGAGATCACGTGGTTTTGGATTACCTCGGGATAATGTTTTACAGACGGAGCTGTTTTAACAGGCAGTAACACTGACGGCTGGCCTGCATTGATCTGTGAGGGAGGGAAACAGCAAGCAGCAGGAGGTGATGAGGTTGTCAGGGACCGATTCATTAGGGATGATGATGTTGACGGGGTCATCAAACACCCGTGTGGGTCTGAACCTATGATAAAAATGTTTGTATAATTAATAATTCTCTTACTGTGCTCATTTGTAGCGAGTCAAATGAGAGAAATCTCTGTAGCTGACAGTAAGTCGGGGCTGCTCAAACCTGTTGTTGTTACTGCTGTAAGGAAATGAAGAGTGGATTGTAATTAGTTGGGAGTTGTATTAATTTGACGATTTTGGTTTTTCAAAGGATTATTTACATAGATCGCTGTGCTTTATACACACTATGTCTGTAGATATATAGAAAATATATGAGGGTTTACACCATATAGAGGTTTCTGATGTAGTGTGAGTTATGACCATGTTGTATTTATCATGCAGTAGATTAATATATTTATGCTATAATGCTAATTGAAATAGAAAAACCTAATTATAAATAAAACATTTTATTATAACATGTTTATTTCACTTTTGTTCACTTTGTTCACAACTTTGTTCTTCTATCTGTAATATAATAATTTAATATAATATATAGCTACAAGTTGAATTTGTTGGCAATAAAACACACCTTTGATCAGTTCAGTACACTCAGATGTTTTGGTGCTATAAAGCCTTATTTGGTCTAGTAAAACTTTAGATGGATGTTGCTGTATTATTGACATTACTGACTGCAGACTTTCTGAATCTTCTCCACTTATTCAACTGTTAAACTACGTTTTAGAGTTTTAACATGAATGTTATGCGGCCTCAAGTGACATCATTGAAAAAGTTTTGATTTAATAGAAAGTACCCTGCTGTTAATGGGACATCAGTATTGCAGACGGCCGATCCACCACTATATTATTTTATTTAATTATTTTAGTTTGGCCCATGCTAACACTGAGGAGGCGGGGTTTATGACCTACACTGGAGCCAGCCAGCAGGGGGCGATCCATATGTTTTGGCTTTACTTTTGGGAGCTGTTTACATACAGCCAGTGGTCAACGCTGATGGGTTTCTATTGAGTGGATTGCCCTGAACTTATGTAAGACCATTCATTTTCTTTCCAGAGGATGCATCCTGCTCACTTTCTGTGAGTTTTAATTGTGAGAATTCTGAACAATGCCCATGAAATAATCAGGAAGATCTTTAAATAACTTTCCCTTGACGTTTCCTCTTTACGCCATCCATCTGATCACATTTTTGCACCACTGTGCCTTGTACAGAATGTAGGCAAATGTTACCAGATTGAATATAATATTGGGACGGAGGTTTTGATGTATTAGCCCACAGTGCTCTTCTAACCGCTCATTGTCTTTAACCCGAGCAGTCAAATTAAACAGCTGCCCGGTGACAAAATAACAAACAAGGAAGCTAGACCAGCAGCGCTCTTCAGCACGTTACCGGACTGCCCGGTCCAACCCGGTGTTTTTCCAGAAGGCAACCGGCTGAGCTCATCTGCGACATAACAACTGAAGAGGAGGAGGAGGAGCGGCTATAGGAGAGAGGAAAGGGGCGCAGGCCGTGGTATTTACGAACGCCCTTCGTACTTGGATATGGAGGAATTATAGGCTTGGAGTGGTGTTTATGGTAGAAAGAGCAGTACGGAGGCTTCAAGGCTGGCACAGCAGCAACACACACACACACACACACACACACACACACCACAACACACACAACACACAGACACACACACACACACACACACCACACACAAGACAGACAACACAACACACAGACACACACACACACCGCCAGCCAAGGTGTGACTTGGATAGGGAGACGTGGATAATTGCGCTTTTGTGTGCGCGAGCGTGTGTGCGCGCGCCACAGAGCGAGTCAGAGAGACAAAGTGGCTTAGTGAGGAGAAGAACAATGGATGGGACCTGATCCTCAAAGCCCACTACAACACACACACACACACGCGTGCGCTCACCTCGTATACGTAGCGAGGAAAAATGGGGGGAGGAGTGGGGGAGGAGTGGGGGGAGTCAGACAGAAGCACCGATGAGCGTCAAAGCGGCGCGCTGCTGGAGAACATGGGAGCGGATATTTCACGGCCGCGTGCAGCCGCAGCCAGATGTTCTCCAGAGGTGGTGCAGTGAGAGCCGAGGAGCGCGAGCCACTCATGACGCATCTGTTTGAAATGAAGCGGGTTTAAGAGGCAAAGCGGTGCCACATAAATAAAGGCAAATAAATAAATAAATCCATCCTATAGCGTCATCCGCAGTGAGGAGCCTCGCTCCTCTCTCTCCTTGCACCACCTTTAGGCTGAGGAACCAGCGGAAGGCAGACACAGTGATATGAGTTGGCATCCGGTCGCCGCTTTCACAATAAAACTCTTATTATTGCGCCTGACTTGTGGCAAGTAAGAAAGGCACTGCCTAAACCTTTACTCCATTGTTTATCCCCCTCTCTCTCTCTTGTGTGCAGAGAATATGATTCCTATTGAAGATCCAGGTTTGTTATTTTATCACTCCAGCAGGTTAACGTTAACTGTTAGCAGGCGCTGGAATAATGGTGTTGCTGAGGAGCTGCAGTACGCCCCTACTAATCTTGGCATGAATGAAACCATTAGTTCATTAAAATGTTTAAACCTATAATGACTGTCTCAGGTATTACTGGGATGTATAAGCACACACTGGTATGTATGGCAGGAAAGTGGTTTTACTTTTCCTTCCGTTTTATTCTCTAAAAAGTTTTGTGTGTAAAAGTTACAATTTGTGTAAAATATGAATAACTATTAAATATGCTATTAATTATATTGTATGTTAATTAAGATCTCCTGCAACAAACCTTTCCCTGTTAGGAACTAAACTAACTAGACTTAAATGTCCCTTGAAATTAAGACCTTTTGGTTCAGGTGTTATGTTGATGAATTCTTAAATGCTGTTCGATGCAGAAACTGCCTTGAGGTTGAATAGAAAGGGTGGACAATTAAAATAAATAATTTTCATTCCACAGAAATAGTTCACGGCCCGAAGCGCTTCAGTTTGAATTCTAGAGATTAGTGATGATACAGCTAGTGTTTCAGGTGGGAGACTGTCCTCCTTTCTTTGATGTCGACGTGCAAGCCAGCACCTCGCTTTAAAAGATGTGTGTTTTCATTCAGATCATAAGAAATCTTGTTATGTCAGTAAGCCTCACACTGCAGGCCAAGGTTTACCAACCTAAGCATACTGAGATACTTTAAGCTTATACCCAAAAAAGCCTGGAGGAATGAGAGAAAATTCCTGGACAGAGTGCTTACGTACTGTTGTTTGCCTACATTTAGCCCTTTCTAATTCACTGTTGGTGGAAGAATGTTCACAACACTTGAGTTATATTTTTACAAGTAGCAGGAATATCTATTGATCCAGGCTTATAGGTAAATGTTTGACATTGCCTGTTTTATTTGTTTCCTTTTAATGAGGCCCATTCAATTATTATTATTAGTTATTATCTGGGCAATGTGGGCAACAGCCCCAGTGACCCCCAGAAGCCCTACGAAAAGCTGCAGGTTGTGCAGCAATTGGTTAATTTGATTAATTGTAACTTTCTTTGGGAATATGGGAAGCAAAATATCAGCTACCCTGATAACAGTCTTACCTGATCTTGAGGCCCTGTCTTGAATCCAATAAGACCTTTTGTGCATTTAGTTTGTCTGAGGTGATATGAGGTGACTGCATCATAGCAGCAGCTACGTAGTTCATACTTTGGACACAGTCGCTCATTTTTGCTCCAAATTAAAAAAGCAGTGTAGGTTTTTGTGGCATCTAGCGGTGAAGCTGCAGATTGCCGCTGACTGAACACCACTCGTGTCTGTATTTGACGCCCTGGGATGGAGAACGGGCTGTGAAATGTGTAGGAGAAACTACGGTGGATGTGGATGGTTTGTCCATAATTGGCCACTGTAGAAACATGGTGGTCAAACACGGCGGCCTCCATGGAAGGCGACCTGCAGAGTCTGTAGATTAAAACTAATTCTGTGGTGATAAAAATACAATTACTATATTCAAGTGATTATACAGTAATGAAAACAT